CACATGCCCCATCCTCTCAGAGTATAACCATGGAGATGCTTCTACAAGACCTAGCATCCCCCTCCTGGGCTGCCCTAGAATAAAGTCCAGCTCTCCACCTGGAAGCCCCAGGCACCTATTTCTCACCACTTTCCCCTTTAAGTCTATGTGCCAGGAACATTGAGAGGCTCACAGTTCCCTGAAAATCAGAATGGTTCCTGCTTTTCCTGATAAACTCTGATTCAGTTTCCAGGCCTGGTCTCCAAGGTTACCTTCCTCCAGGAATTCTTCCCAACATCTCTCTTTTGTCCCACTCCTCCCCATATCCCAAGGGCTCATCACAAGTTGATCACGGTGTCTTCCCTTCCAGTCTATGGCCTCCTCCAGAGCAGTGACCATGCTTTGTTCATCTCTGTGCTCCAGACTCGTAAGTGAATGTATACACAGGTACTCACCTTGAGCTACATGGGACTCTTATTTTCCTACTTCTAAAATGGGAATCTGCCTTAGAACAATGTCTTTCAAGGCTAACTGAAGTGTCTCACAGTTGAGAAAGAAGTGAGGCTCCTATCCCTCCATGGTTTCACCACACAGCTCTGTCTATTTTCATCTGCATTAAGGACAAAATTAAAATGGTTCTAGTGCTTAAAAAAGCAAAGCCCTCAAGCCACTGGACTGTTATGTCTAAGCATGCCTCTGGATGTTTAGTTCTAATGCCTGAACAACCACAGATCCAATTCCAAAGGAGAGACCCGGCCAGTTGACCAAGGTCACTGGCCTCTGATCCCTGAGCACCACCAGCTCTGACTATTCAACCCCAACAGACAGGGGTGAAAAGGAAGAAGAGAAGTCAGTGAGATGATAGCAGGCAGAAGCCTTCCTGGAACCTGAAAGCTTAGGTAAAATGAATTCTCCAAACTGAAGAGAAGGCCACACAGCCAGTGGGGAAAGGGACCCTGCAAGGAGATCTTGGGGAATGGCCATAAGCATCGAACAAACTGGCAGCTGCTCAACTGACTGATTTGGGGACACCATGGGAGCAAGCTGGGCAGAGATGGTCTGTCACAGAGAGACATGGTGCCCACTCAGTAACAGGCTATGCTGCTGGAAACCCATCCCCAGCAGGAAAGCTCTGATCCATCAGGCCCAGCCTGGCTCCATTTACCTTCTCACCCCGGTTGGAGAGCGGCCCATCCATGTCGGCTTTGAGGTGGACGGGGGGTGCGGTGTAAGGCAGCCGGCAGTGCACCTGCCCGCACTGTACCTGACCTGTGGATGAGAGGATGCCTTGGAGAGGATGCCATCCCCCAAGCTCCCCACAGGATCCCACCTGCCCTGTGCTCTGTAAGCTGGAGCCCATTTGCCACTTACCACCTCATTGGCCTGGACAAGACCAATAGATTGGCCACAGTGCTGTACGTGTAGGGCTTTAAAGAGGGTTGGGCTAACTGCCCAGCTCACGCAGAAACACTCCTACATCAATAGGTGATGAATACCTCTTGCAAGCAAGCCTGTACCCCATCTGTCAGATCCTTACCAAAGATGATTAACCATGAGGACTCTGCTTTCATAGGTCACCACCCTAATTACAACTGCAACTCAACACCACGAGCCACCCCTTCTCTCCTAGCCCTCCCTTTCACCTTTATTCTTTAACTCTAATCACCTAACTTGTTGTATTTTTATTACTTGATAATTGATCTATTTCTGCCAACTCTATGAAGTCAGGAACTTTTATCTGATTTCTAGATTGCTGGAGATTTCCAGTACCTAGAATGAGACACAGGAACTCTAAATATTTGTCACATGAAGTTTCATACCCTATTCCAATATCTAAAACTGTTGGGAAAAATCTATCTTATGTCTGATCTAAAATCTCTCGTGCTACAGCCTATTTACCAGTCTTTTGCCTGACTGTTCAGACTTCTTTCTCTTTGGTCTTTGAAAGAGCTCTGTGCAGACTTACAATTGATATATAATTTGAGACAAGTCATGGTGCCCTTGTGAGCCACAGTTCCCTTATCCATAGAATAAAGCAATTGTATTAAGTTCAAGATTTCTAACTCCCTGGGTGTTCAAGGAATCTATAAGCAGCCTCAAATTACTCAAATAGTTGTGTGTCTGTACAATTTTCTGGAGTGCAGTTCCAAAGCTTTCATCAGATTCTAAACTCTTAAGGCTTCAGGAGCCTATGACTTTAGTTAGCTGCAAAGTAGAGGTGCATTTTTCTGGGGTCTGGTTCTAATACTTTCATCAACATCCATCTCTAATCCTTCAGAAAATTCAAGATTCCAGGATTTTAGTTAACTATAAAGCAAACTATAAGGTAACCTTCAGCCATGCAGCAAGAGGTGACAGATCCAGACCTCTCAAGCATCTTCCACCTCAAGATGGGCTCCACTTCCAGGGGAAGAGGAAAAGGACCTCCAGACCCTTTTCAGGCATCAACGAGAGGTCCAGACTTGGTCACTGGGAATATGTGAACACAGTCCTGGCTGCACTTCAATATATCCATTATCAATTCCACAGTAAGGATTAGCTGGTAGACCAGAACCCTGGGGCCTAGAGAGCTCCTAGTCCTCAGCATCATTAATAATATTTAATGGGTTCTGTGCAATGCTGAACATAAATCACTGTTTAGAAATGAGAAGGGGAAAAGCAACCCTTCTGCCAGGCAGATGGTTCAGAAATGGAACATATAAAGAGGCATGGTTCCATCTGGCAGCCTGGTGCTGTAGACAGGACTATCCACTCCTAACTCTGCCAATCAGCCCCACCGCCACCATCACAAGAGCAGATAACACTTATCTGACACTAAACATTGAAGACTTTACATCAATTATCTCATTCGATGTTCACAGCACTGCTTTGAATAGGTACTTTTATTGTCCTCATTTTCTTCCGGATGAGGGAACTGACATTTAAGGAAGCAAAGAAACTTGCCCAATGACACCCAGCTAGTAAATGCTAAGGGTGGTTGAAACTCAGCGGTTTGACACTAAAGCCTACATTTGATCAGTAAATGGCACTGGTTTCCACTATCTTGGTTTCCTTATCTACTTAAATGGGATAGTGATGTGCGATGTTCAGAGACACAAACAATATAGTGTCCAGTAAGCAGCAATTCTCTATTTGACCTCCCTTCTTTTCCCCTTTTACTTGGAGCCAGAGAAGAGTGTGTGTGTGTGTGTGTGTGTGTGTGTGTGTGTCTGTCTGTCTGTCTGTCTGTCTGTCTAACTTCTGGTTTTTTGTCACCCTCAGCTTTGAGGAAACAAACCCAAAAGGAAGAAAATCTGTAAAAAGCACCTGCCCAGGAACAGATTCTCACCGAACTCTTTCTCTCTCTTCTAGCTTCTTAGCCCAAGGACACTTCACCTTATCCTCTGCTAATGCCCAGTGCCTATCTATGCCAGCCCTCCCACATTTAGGAGTTTGTTGCCCACCCATCTCCTCTGGAATGTGAGTCTCAAGGACAGCAGCAGGTCTGTTGTGTTCTCTGTTGAATCCCTGTGCTGAAAACACAGAGATGCTTGATATTTTGACAGGATGCATGAATCCATCCTCACCCTCTGGCATTGTTAACATCCTGGTTTACAGATGAGGAAACCAAGGTTCAAGGAGGTGAGGTGAACTACCCCAGGCCCCACAGCCCTGGGTGGTCCCGCCACACTATGCTGCCCACATTCCATTGCCTCCAGTCTACATGCCTAACTCCTGCTGATTTTCCCTTCTCAGAGGCAGCCTCCCCAACAGCATGTCAACTCTCTAGCAGGGGCCTTTCCTGCAGAAACCATCCTGAGGGCTGTCACACACTCTGGTGATCATTCCACCTTTCTTACCCACCAAAACACAGACTCCACAGAGCAGGAACTTTGTTCATCTCTCTCTTTCCTGGGCCCTGGCAGAGAATGAGTACTAGAAAAATATTTTGGGAATGGCTAAATTGCTTGCTTCTATCAAGACTGCCGCCCCATTGAGGCAGGATTGGGAATTTATTCCTTCCCTGCAACTCCTAGGTCCAAGTGATGGGGGAGGAGGATCTTCACCCAGAATGCTCCTCAAGCCTCCCCCCCCAACCTCAAAGCCACGCACTCTCAGCGTCACCTTGCCCGCAGGTCCCGCAACCCCCCGTGTCGCAGTTACTTACTCTCTATGTAGCCGTGCAGGGTGACCATGCGCGCCCGCTCGGGGCTGCTGAACGGGGAGTAGTGGATGTCGTCGGACAAGGCGGAGGGGAGGCGGGTCGGGGGCGCCCCTGAGGGCGGCACTGGGTGCTGCGGTGTGTGCTTTTTATGACGTGCCCGGCAGTTTTGAAACCACACCTGGAACAACAGCCTCAGCAGCCTCAGCCTCGCGGAAGAGGGTCGGTTCTGCGGCCAGGGGACCCCAAGCGGGGCTGCTTCGTCGCCTCCTGAGGAAGGGTGGCCACGTGCACCCCCGACCCTCTGTACCTCCGCTAGCTCCACGGCTTCCCCCCGACCCCGCCCCAGACCTGGAAGCCCTACCCACCCGATCCCCACCTGGATGACTCTCCGGCTGAGGCCCGTCATGTCCGCCAACTTCTGCAGAGTCTGTGCGTCGGGATTATTGTCCTGAGCAAACTGCGCCTGCATAACCTGCGGGACGCCGCAGGCGATGTAGCATGGCAGCGCAGAGGTCTCCAAGACCCCGGCCCAATCAGAGGCTCTGGACCCTAGGCCACGCCCCCGACGGCTCCCCACCGTGCACCGGCCCAGGCCGAGGGGGTGGGGCCAAAAGGCTGCTCAGTCCCGTCCCTCCGAGACCCCGCCCACGCCCCCTCCGCTCCGGGCTCGCCGGGTACCTGCAACTGCTCGGCTGTGAAAGACGTCCGCGCGCGCTTGGCCGGCTTGGGCTGACTGTCCTGTTCCGAGGGCACTGCCCCCTCCAACGTGAGGCCGTTCCCTGGGGGCAACAGAAGCAGCTGACCACGCGTCCCCAACTCTTCTAGTGGCAGCCTGGAAAGGACGGGGGTGGGGGGAGCTTGTCCCTGGAGGGGTCAGGAGTGGACCTGGCTGGGGGTGGGGATCCCAGGGTCCTAGCCCCTGAGCTCAGTCTTTGGGGAAAGGGCTTGAGTTTCTGAAAGTCCATTGAATACAGTTTCTTAAGTGTCACAACCTTAAGAGAGGTGGCACTATCCCCATTTTACCTGAAAAGAAACAGGCTCAGAGAAAAAGAAACCCCCTGCCTGGAATCTTCCGGCTAGAATCTGAAAGCTGGTGGATCCTAACACCCCAAACGGGACTCCCTCCTGGTTAAACTGCAGGAAACCAAAGACTGGTGGAGGTAAGAAGCAAGCAGGCTCCAAAACTGACTCCAATTTTATAAAAACAAGTGGAAGAAAACTAGAAGTATATACACCAAGCTGTTAGCAATGGTTTATCTCCAAAAAGTGCGATCATAGAGACTCTTTACTTTCAATATTTCTCGACTGAAGTTTTCAAGACAATTAAATGTCAGCTAACTTCTCTAAGGTTTAAGTGCTGTATATTTTATATGTTATCTTTCCCCTTGTGTTATTTTTACTATTGTAATTGTAAACCACTAAATACCCATTTTATTTTTAACACCTCATTTTTTTCTGAGTACAAAATTAATACACAGCCCTTACTGCAAGTCTAGAAAATTTCAATAAACACAAAAAAGGTGGAAAATCACCAGTAATTCCACCACTTAGATATAACCACTGCTAACAATTTACTGTAATTTTTAAATTAGGACAAAAATTATGTTGAAGGAATAAACAAACACTCCAAAATACATAGAATTTTAAAAATCTGGAAAGATAAACATTAAAATGAGAGAAGGTAGATTTGGAATGATCTTGATTTTGTTTTCCTTTTGCTTCACCATCCTTTCTAATTTTTCTATGGTAAACAGGAGTAGTGTGTGTGTGTGTGTGTGTGTGTGTGTGTGTGTGTGTACACGCGCACATGTGATGTTTAACAAAACAGTAGCCCATACTGAGAGTTGATAAGTAAGGGAGATCCCAGGCCCCAAGCCTTCAAACTTTCATGGCTTCTGCAGTATGAGAACTGGATGTAACAGACAAGGCCATGACTAAAGGTAGTTCTTATCGATCCAGGTGTGGAAGGAGGCAGAGGTAATTGAAGAAGATGGCGCTAAAGAAACCCTGACTTCCCAGTTTCCATCCTGACTCTACTTCTGACTTGCCTACTGCATTACAGGTAAATTGCCTAGCACTCCGTTCCTTTGCTCCCCACTTAACCCTGATCCTGGCAGGTGATAGTCTTGGTTTAGACATGGCCAGGAACACTGTGGTGGTCCCCAATTAGTCTTTGGGCCAGGGCCTAGAAAATAAGGCAGGGTGGTCCATAACCTCCCCCAGAGGCAGAAATTGTGCAGTGGTAATATCCCATAGCAAAGCACACAGAATTAGTGTGGCTGTTTTGGGGGTTTTTTAGATAAAGAAGTGAAACTCATATCAGCACATTTCTGACTTTATGAAATCTGATTAAGGGGACCTTTAGCCTGAGGTGAGGAGGTGCAGTGTGGTATGATGTGCTATGCTTGGTAGTAAAGCCTGGGCTTTGGAATTAGCCAGACCTACTAGCACATAACCTGTGGCAAGCTACATACTACAGATAACCTCTGCCTCTTTCCTTAAGTATAAAATGGGGACATATATCAATTTCCTAGAACTATTGTAAAGATTATCCAAAATAATCCATGTTATAGAGAAAATAACTGTCTCCAGACACTGAGGTCCTCCCCTCTATCTAAAGCCCAGGCTCCACTTCGTTCTCCAGCTCTCACCCCACCTGTGACAGTCCTCCGGATCCCTGGAACAACTGGAATCTGTTCTTGGGCCTGTATGTCTTGGAAGTAACAGTTATCACAGCCAAAGAAAATTTAGGGATCAGATTATGAGACTGAGGCTCTGGGAGGAAAGGAAACTTCATAGGTTAGCACAGTGTGCTAGAGCTGGGTCTCTAGACTCAGGGACTACATTCTTTGCCATTATAGCTAGAGCTACTGCTCCAGGATGAAACTCCTACCCTCAAGCCTCTGATTCAGTGTTGCCAGGCTGGGAGTTGGGAGAATAGATACCTATCATCTCGAGGCCTGGCTCAGGCAGTTAGAAGTGATAAGCCCCCAGGTGAGTGAGAGATGTTCAACAGCTGAAGAAAGCTGACTCGTTAAGGCTCCATCTCTAGGGATAGTAGAGTACCTTCTGCTTTTACAACGCATCAGCTCCTCTATCTCTGAGACTATGTCATTAGCTCCATTTTACAGATAAGTTAGCACTGTTACAGGGAACAGCAGCATCGTCCACTCCCGTCACTGGTGGAGCCAGAGCGCATGCGCCACAGTTGTACAGCCCCACCTTCACATAGCCTCCAGGTGGTCAAAGGAACGCCCAGTTTGTAAAGCAGAATAGGCGGTTTGGGGTGCTGGGCTGGGTGGGAAAGGGCTCAGGACAGAGGAGGCCAGCAGGGCCAGTTGGGTACCATTCTCCGCAGCTCTCTTGAGGTTCTCAATCATGGTGTCATAATGGATGCGGCACAGCACCTTCTCCTCCACCAAACCAAACTCTTCACCAGTAGACAGCTGGCGCTTGCAGGAGAAGCAGGCAAAGCAGGCAAGGTGATAGGCATTGCCACGTGCCCGTCGCACCCAATCACTGGCATAGATCTGTCGGCCACACCGGGCACACTTGGTCCCAAATCGGCTGTGACACAAGGGAACAGGTACAGGTTGGTAAAGCTCAGGCCAGCTATCTTCCAATCTCAACACTCCACCCTTCCACATCCCGCCCAGGTTTCTGGCCTAGATGCACTTGCTCCCTCATTAACCTTTTCTTGGATGAACTACCCTTCTACCGCCAAGTCTCACCTAGATGGTGAGCTGGTGGGTGCTTCCGTTTTCTTCTTGGGGCTTTTATGACTTTTTCTAAGTTTCCTATCATAGTCACTTACACTTTAATGAATGTATACATTAAAATACCTCATAGCTATTAGGAAAATATAGCAATATTGATAGGCAAATTTTTGAGCACCGCATGCCCAACAAGATTCTCTGTATTTTACGTCAATTATTCCAATTAGTCCTCTTTTTACAGGCAAGGAAAATAGGAGTCACTAAATCACACAGCTCACAAGGATAGAAGCCCCAGGCAAGCTAACTCCAGAGATGACTAAACTATAGCCCCAGCTGAACAGAAGTTCAGAGTTCCTTGGAAGAAAGACAGAGATGTACTTATTGGCCCTGTGACAGTGAGCAAATTGTTTAATTCCTCTTAGTTCCTGTTTTCCTTGCCCTGAGCTGAGCTAGAGGACAGCAGTGACTGCTACTATTTCTTTAGTGTATGACATCTGTGAAGTCTTTGTAGTCTACAAAGAACCCATCTATTCCCAAGACTCTGGAGTCTATGACATCCTTATTGAATATTGAAAACGGACAAAAATAAAAGGTCCAAATCAAATGTTTTCTTGCCTCTTTACACCTTCCTTGATTCTGTAACTTCCCCTTCTCCCTCCCTGCTTTGTAGTGGCTTATTTGCTTAGCCAGCATGTCACCAGACTGGGAACCTCTCCTGGAAGCAGGAATCAGGCTCTGGCTGCTAGGGAAGGCTTGTTCAAATGGTTGACTGTCCCAACTTCACAGCCTCAGTTTCCTCCCTTGTATTCTCTAGATCAGGGATCGATGCCATCACTACCACTAAATCATATACCCTTCCCTCTTCAAAACTCCACATTCAATCCTCAGGATTCTGTGTCCTAAGATCTCTGAGATTCATCTCCTCCACTCCGTCTCCACTGCCACTCTGCCTCTTAGACCACATTCCCATCAGGCAGCCCGATCTGCCAGTCTCTCTAGTTTCCAATCTTGCCCTGCCACCTCATCCTCTACCCCGCAGTCACAGAAGTGCCCAACATGCACATTGGAATCCTCTGTACAGCCTACTACATTCTTTGGTAGCTCTGCTTTCCCCTCAGAATCTCATCCAAGGCTTACAAGATGCATCATTTTCAAGCTCATCTCTTTCCTGACCTTCTTCAAAATCTTCCCCACCCCCAAATCCAAGCCTGAGTCCCTGTCAGCCACAATGGAAGATCAGTCCCATGTCTCTAAGGCTTCCTCTGAAGCACTTTCCACCTCCAGCTCTTTTCCCAGACCAGTTCCTTTCCAGGACATGTCAGCCAGAGACCCACCACCCTCTTAGCATTGATCATATTGGTTTTGTTAATGGCTGGGTCCTTGGCTTTCCCGGTGGTTTATCCTAAGCATTCCTGAGGGGGACAGCAGACCAAGATTTGCCTCTACGTGTCCAAGAATGACGCCCTTCCACTCAGAGAAGCATTAGGAAAAATCTGTGTGTAGCTGGAGGAAACAGCCTAGCAAAACCTCTCTGGTTACAGCCTGCCTTCTTTGGAAAGTTCAAGCAGTCGATGGTTGATAAAAATGTTGCTTATTACGGAGTGCAAGATTGCGGTGGCCTCAGACAGCTCCAGCGGCGAGCGAGGGTGCTCGTTCCCCACAGCCACCGCCCTCTGGATGAGTTTCCTCAAGCCGCTCAGCAGGGACGGCTCCAGACCTCAGAAACCAACCGCTTCTCCTGAGAGAGCTCAGCTTGCCTATGGACTTTGTTCCTAATCCTGCAGTAAGGATCAAGTCACGTTGCCGATCCCAACCTCCTCACCGTGGGACCAGCCTCCGGGCTCTGCCACCCAACTAGTGGCGTGCGGATGAGGTACACACTCTGGTCTCCGAGGCAAGGCTGACTTTCTTTCCATTATTTGTGCTTGGGGAAGAAGAGCGAAGAGCCCTTCTTGCGGGTGGTGGTGGGGTCTCGGGCACAACGCCCTGTTTGGATACCCTGGCATTGTCAAGACCGTGTAAGGTAGCGACTCTGAGACTAACCAATTTTTCACACGTGGGACTGGTGGTTCAGATACTGCCAATGACCGCACAGGATGCGGCCAGGATGCGGCCAGGGTTGAGGTTCCTAACAGACCTAGAACCCAGTCTGGTTATGAGGCGACCTGGGAACCTAGAAGCAAGAACAAGAAGGGCGCCTGGTCTGATCTTCTGATTCAGACGCTATGGGGTGCGAGGCGTGGATTCTGAGAATTCCCGCGCGTGGGACTGGGCCCGGGGGCAGGCGCCTCAAGAGGCGGGAAGTGCATTCCCTAGAGGACAGGAGAACAGACTTCAGCGGCAGGGAGCGTGAAAGCAGCAGAACCTCCCGACGGTGTGAGCTTTACGCGGCGCCGGTGACCTCTTTGCTGCGCCAGAACGCGCCGTTCTGCTCCTCGCGTCGGCTGGGTGGGATTCCTCGTCCTCCGCCACCGAATCTCCCTGCGCGCGCTTGGTCTTCCTGCCCTGCTAGTCCCAGACCTCGAGACCACACTGCACCAGCGCAGGGCAACTACAGCGCCCCCAGACCGTTGCTCCTAAGCGGATACCGCCGAGAGACTCATCAGCAAAATTTTTAGCCCAAAAGGTCCAGGAGCTGTCCCGGCCATAGATTCTCTCGGAATTTGCCGTGACTCGACCCAATCAACGAAATAACCCTCGCGCAGGATCCTTGGAGTGGTGACCGGGTGGTCTCTATGTGTGATGGGAAGAGTTAGGGACGCTTCTGCAATGTGTGGGCCACGCGGAAAAGGGGTCTAAGCACGAACAAAAGGGACGAAGAGGCTTCCGATCGAGGCTCTAACACTGACAGACTTCTTCCCAGGCGGACTGCGAGATTCGAGCTGCCCTAATCCGGAAGCAGCGAAATGGGCGGCGCAGACAACGAAACTTCAAGAAATGGGTGTTCGGGAGCTGTGATCAGAGCGCTAAAAGGTTTAGGGGACGCTGCTGCTGCTATCTCAGGCTTGCCGTGAGTTCTAAACCTGCAACGCTCTTCCCTGGGACCCGGTCGCAGGAGGTAAAGACGAGAAGGACCGAGGTGCTTTAGAGACGGAGAAGTGTCCAACCGCTGCCGCGCGTCTCAGCTACCGCAAAAAGGAGCAGCGTAGGCTTCGCGCACCGCCAAGCCCTCCGTCCTCACAGCGATCTAGATACTCGCGGTTTGTGCAGCGAGAGCTGTGCGCCCTTGCCCAGCGCGGCTCGCTTTCCAGGTTTACTTCCCTTGGATGCCTAGCAGACGCTCAGTAATTACTTGTCGCATGAATGAGCCCATCGGAGTTTCACTAAGACCCCTTCCCTCATTCAT